CTCGTGACGAAGCTCATCCAACATTGATTCATCACTGGTAAACACCAGGTCTAGAATATTGGGAGTCTGTTTACTTCTATAATGGGTTGGTTTGGTAACGTGCTGGACTAGGAAGGAGTCTCTTACTGACTCCATGAACAAGGATGCTGGGTGATTCTCTTCCCTTGGAGAGGATCCATCTATCCAGTCTGGCTCTGGATGATTAAAATCACCATCGATCAACGTGTGTGACCTACGGAAAGTCATGCTCGGTAAAAGACTGTTTAGTACTTTATCGTTATCAGAAGAACTGTTAGGTGATCTATACACGACGCCTATGAGGAGGCTATCTTTGCCTTTTAGAGTAAGTTCGCACGCACACTGATTCTCTAGCTGATTGATGTTCTGCAGATAACTTGACTTGCTGGGCCCCATAAGAGGTTCTAACCCACAAAGCTACACCTCTACTGCACTGCTCTTCATTTAAGTTATGAAAACAATCAAAACCTGGCAACTGAAATTCAACAGGTAAAATTTTCCCCCCGCGATTTTTAGGGGGGAAATTTCTTTAATACAAATAATGTCTATGCGCTCGTTTTCAATCACACTTAATAGTTCACTTCTTTTGTTCAAAACGGAATCCGAGTTCGTGTAAAAACATTTTACAGCTTTTTGAAATTTAGAAATTTGGGACCACGAGCACGAGCGTCCTCTCTCGACCACGGCTTAACGGATGAATTAATTATATAAATTGAGAAAATTTGGGTTGATGCGGCACTGCAACTCATTCAACGACTGGTATTTCAAGGCAAATCATGAACTTTTTAACAAAACTGAAAACTCAGATTTATGTTGGCTTAGTCAAAGTCATCGGATGTGCAATTGAAGTTCATTTGAAGCTATATATTCCCACTACAATCTTTTTCATGTCTCTGTGGAAACTTATTAATGCGACCGTGCTAGTTACATTATTTGCCCATGAAATAATTGCATAAAAAAGGCTATGCGTTTTTGTTGCTGGTGAAGCCTTAAATTATCAAGAACTCTTATTAGAATTTGTAATTTCATTCGGTCAAAAGTAATGTACACACAAAATAATCAACTTGGTTCTATAATTAACGCGTCATCGCACCTGAAAAACGCTGCAGATCATCGTGTACCCGGATGCGCTGAGCGCAATGTTCAGCCAATCTGAAATTATTTCGATGTTATCATTTATATTGTTATCATTTATTTATTTATTTACTCATATTTATTCATATATTTAATATTTGTATATATACTTCTCACTTCATTTATTTTTCATTTTCTCATCCTGGAATATTCAGTTTGACTATATATAAACTATGGCATCACGTCTGCAATCGCAGTGTTTATTTCAATTGTCGGCATTGCTTAGTGCAGCATTTTTAGTTGTCTATCAAATTAGAAAGATATAACTAAAATATGATAACTAAAATAGATAGATATGTTGTGTGATTCGAACGATCAACGTTCAAAACACACAACAGTATCGCTTGAATTCAATGAATATGGAATATTGTATTTTTGATTGCTTAGCTTAAATTTTGTCATAATTTTTAGCTCGTCATAGAGACTTAATTACGTAAATCTAGTAACTACTCACAATTTTGGTATCCTATGACAGTGAGAACCACGACGAGGATTTGCAGAGCACATGTGAGAAGAAGTCCTCCTATGAGGAACTTTTTCCTGCCCAGCCTCGCAGTGATGGGAGCCGTGACCGTATAGGCAGGGATTTCCGCAACACCCAACACGGCCATAGCCACATAAGGTGAGCTGAAGGGAGTAAGGGTGCCATCGTTGCATTACTAAGATCATGGCCATAATTAACTTCAGTGTTTTGTATTTAGTCGTGCCGTCATAAGCCGAAATTACAATTGAAATTATTTCTCATTGTTTGACGATTCTTAAGTAGATTAATACCTCATTAAAGTCTTTATAATTGATCAAAATCAAAATTGAAAACTTACATTCACTCTGGCTCCGATAATTCCACTGGTTAACATGCAAATCACATTTAGTATTCAATTTTTTTATTTGTGCTCTCTGCTTTGCAAAAGTCCCATTCGTACCTGTTTGTACCTAAAATATTATCTTACTGAAAATCGGTTAGGCGAAACCTTACCAATTTTTGCACGCAAAAGTTATAATTTTAATTTTTTCCGAAGGATATATATAGATTTTTTGTTGCCAACGCGGTATTAGATTCGGAAGATGTAAATACCATTGTGTTACATGGGAAGGCAAACAGTTAAAATGTTTTTCCGCTCAGATCGTTTTTTCGTTGATGCACTAATTTTTTAACTATATGAGCTGAAATTTGAAAGTGACTCATTTATATGAAGGAACTCATTATATATGATTTAGAAACGAATTTTACAATATTGTGGCAGCAGTAATTTTGCCTAGTTCTTTAAATTGTAATCATAGCCGTCGTCCTTTACCTTGACACGCTAAAAAAGTTATAATTTTGATTAATCTAATTAGTAAAAATTAATTGCATTGCTTAGACCTACATCCTTTGTATCCCGATTATTTAGTCGTGGAATAACACTTCTAAACGATGAAAAATTGTACGATAAAATAAGAATAGTCGTGAATTGATTTTTGATGCCTTTAACGTACGCGAATTGGTCAGCGCTGAGCGGTATGCTGATGTACAGGCAACTCTGCATCAGCCACACAGGCACCAGAATGCCGGTCACTCTGCGCAGGTACGGCGACGACACCAGAGACTTGAAGCGGGATAGGAGCGTAGAAGATGGTTTCTCCTCGCATTCTTTCTGTGCTCGAAAAGCAAGTGCAACTGTTTTATTCTAAGTATCTCGGGTGGACGTTTTTACGGAATTAATGAAGATTTTATGAAGATGGTCATAATTATATTATTTGTGTTAATTCACTATACATTATTTCGATTGGAATTTAACCGTGAGTGATGTTGCACAGTCCCACCGGAGAAAAGAAACAGCTAGAGAAAGATTATCTTTAGCTTAAACCAGAAACACTTTGATATTCGTGAGAGTGTAAGATGAGAAACGTTGTATTCGGCCTCTTTTATGTTGGAGGGTTCAGCCCCTAAATGTTTACCGCATAAATGCCTTCCAGGACGCCCATCAAATTGTCTGGCAAGTTGTACGTCGTTTTATTCCACTTCGCGACTCGGAGCAGCGATGCTTCGGCTTCTTTAAGCCGTCCCCGAGTAACAAGCCAACGTGGAGATTCTTTCACTAAACTGCACATAGGCGGGAAAGTAATGGAACTGGGGTTACATTTTCATCACATCTTGACCAACGAATTTGAAAAATTTAAGAATTTGAGTTATGATTGTTATAACATAAAACGTGAGCTTGCATGCTTCGTGAAGAATGCTTACTTATGAGGATAACCTAGAAGTCCATAACAATAGTAGGGTACATGCATTTACTCACAAAGGATTACTTAAAAGAAGCAGTAATGCGAGAGGGAAGGAACCAGCGAGCTGTAGCATCCGCCAGTCCGGACATGCATAAGCCAGTCCGGCAAACAGGCTCAGCATTACGGCGTATGGCAAAGCCACGCATACGCCGAACGCCGACCGCAAGGGCGTCGGGCAGAATTCGAAACCTGCACATAATTACAAGTTGAACGATTAACAATTACATAACAGTAACGGTAAGTGGGAATTTAAGACACCATAACATTCAATGATAATATAGGATTCAGTGGTATCAGCATTGATTAGGCCATGCTAGCCTGTCGTTGATTCGTAACACCAGGTAACCTGCTGGTTTCGACCATAATAAACCACAACATTCTGCGGATTTCGAATCTACAACTCGCTGTTTCAATCTTGGTGACCTTAACCACTCCTGTTTCAAAACCTCATTCCAGTGAAGTGACACTGAGCTTCATATGTCTTTAACATCTTAAATGAGCTCAGTAACTCACCTATGGTGTATACAGGAGAAATTATAAACATTGTGGATAAACCGATGAAGAATCGGCAGACTAGGATGCTTGTCATGTTCGGTATAGTGACTAGGAGTGTGGTGAAAAATGTCACCAGTGCCGAGCCGTACCACACGGTGGGTTGTCGACCGAGCCTGGCGAAACACGTGCTTTATGAAGCGACATCTTGTAACTTTTACTGTGATTTGAAATAGCATTCCACGTCGATTGAAGGACTACTAAAATTTTAACTGTAATGTCTATTTTTATAATATAGGGATGAATCTGGGTTCATTTGAGTCTTAGTCTAGGAGAAAGTCAGAGTGTAAAGGCCCGTTTCCACTATGAGACTCTGCGAGACTGACGATTGAAAAACTGGCTTTTTCAGTCCGGACTGAGGCAGTCCCGACCATCGAGACTGGAGTGACGGGGAGTCAAGCGCTGTTCAATCTTTTACTGGACTTGCGTGACGGGCAATTGGCAGTGTCGCTGTGACTTTCGTTCAAGGAGGTTGTGTGCTGGGCGGGCGCTCCAATAGACGCACCATTGCCTGCCTCTTTGCTTTTAACTGACCATGTCGCACGACGGAGACTGAAGCAGAGATGTCACTGAAAGGCTTATCGATTTATAGAGAGAGGCACCTTGCTTCTGGCAAGTAAAAAGCTCTTTTCACAGAGACAGAATTTTGAGAATTAGAGAAAATAAGTAAATAAATGCAGAAATTATATCCATCCACGAACATCGAAAAATGGAAATAATACATCCTAACTTATCAATTATCATTGACCGATTTTATCTGTTTATTGACATAGATTCACTGGTTGGGGGGGAGGGGGGAAAAATGAGAAAAATGGGATAAAACGCTCATAAAAAAAACTAAGGGGAAAATGAGAAAAGTGATCATCAAATTTTTAGGTATGGTCCTTACGAACCGAATGATACGTGTCTCGATGTTGTAGGATGATATTTGCAGGAGATAGATTTTCTATAGTGCCCCTTTTATCCGTTTTCTATGAATTTCACGTTTTCTATCATTTTTTTCGAAAAATTCATAGAAGCAAAATGTTCTTATTTTTACATTTTACGTATGTATGTGAAGTTTCATGATGATCGGATAATAACTGTAGAAGTTTTTACGGAGGGTAGCCGGTCCCCTTAAACATTGTGACGTATTTATTACATTTAATTTTCTCGACACATTAAAGGTATAATAAGATAATGCTGTTTCTTAATCCCGATGGTGAATGCATGTTATTACACGGATAAACTATGTTAATGAGAAGTTTGAAACCATTCTTGCGTTTCATAACTGCTATTAGGTAAATAGATCTTTGTTTCCTCCTGTGCATAGTGACAACAGCTAGTAAAAGCAAGAGCGGCAGCATAATCTATCTTCAAACTTCAAAGGCCAGCGAGTGCGGTAGCCCAGACGGTCAGTCTCAGTCCCAGCACACGTGTGTAGTGGAAACGCGCACGCCAGTTTTCAAGTCCAGCCATGTTGCTTATTGGTCCCAGGCCAATCTCAATCCTTCAGAATCAGTCCCGTAGTGGAAAGGGGCCTTAATGCCTGCTACATGATGAATCATTCCAACTACCTACAAAAAATTGGTAACGACGAATTGAAATGCCTGCGATAAATTGAGTGACTGTTACGAATGGCATGAGCAAAATGGAATGACTACGATATTGTTTATGTGACTTGTTTATTTTTTTAACAAGACCTCAATTATCAGAATTAAGTATTTATGGAAGTGAAACTTTCTCATTAAATTCATTCCACCCATGCATTAGGCGACTTTTGCTCCTGCTGTGTAATATGACATTGTAAAATATGAATGCATAAGTGGGTTCAATTTTATACATCAGTTCATTGAATGTAATCAGTATTCTAATTACATGAAGGTATCAGTCATTGATTCAAAATTTGACTACTGTCAATATTTGCGATCGGCGTGTATGCCCTCTCATTTTAGGCGTTTATCAAGTTTATTAAAAACCAAGTAAGAACTATGGGCTTTATGAGCCATCGAGCACCACATAGATCAATTAATATCATTTAGAATTCGTGAATTGATTGCATGAATATTTTCGACAGAGCGGCCATCATAATAATGAGACAAAGTGCGGGTTTCTTTATATAAGGTCATATTCTCTTTAACATCAAGACGTACAAAAAGCCATGAACTTCTTGACTGAAACTAATCAAGGCTAGTCTCAAATTTGCAAAATCTCCACCAGCCTAAACAACAATGTACCTTCAGTCTAATTAATGAAGTCTCATGATGCCCTTTAATGACTGTTACCGATGAAACACGAATGATTCAATGATTTGCAGCAGAGTTTTTATTTACAGGTCATACAATACCCGGACTTAAGGCCCTGATTGAAAGCCGAGAGGCTTCGAACAGGCTCGGCTCTTCCCTAAGCGTTTCTTCACTAATTAGGATAGACTTTACTCCACTCGCAAATGAGATGGCGATATGGATTTTTCCATACTTACCCAGCTATTTATTTATAAGAGTCGACCAGTAACAAAAAATATGTAAGCTTTGTATTAAAAGAGTTTTAATTCAGATAGGAGGATATAGACTGCTTGTAGTCAGAATGCAGCAAAGTCTTTAAGCAAAGCTGCATTTTGACTACAAGCCTTAAGGCTTGTAGTCAGAATGCAGCAAAGTCTGAGAGCGAAGTTTTTGCGACCATCGTGTGAAATTCTTGATTTGCCCGAAGCTCGGCTAGTCGCTACCCTCGAGCTTGTACTCTTTGTGATATGATATCCTATAGCAAGCCAACTTCTTGCGGCAACTGGTCGCTTTCAGGTGGCCGAGGAATGGCCAGCGGTCGGCTATAACTAATTGGACTAGGCCGACCACTGGCCGCGTATTATTCCTCGCCCCTCATTGAGTTCGCCTTCACCACGCCGCCCGTCGTGAACTGACAGTTCAGTAATTTACGACGTCTCTTTCCCCTCATGTATTCCACAACGTCTGCATTTGAGCAGTTTGTATGCGGTATTTCCCCTCCGCGTATCAGCAGGCTCGATCATAACTATTTTTTGGTAGATAATCTCTACAACAAGGAGGCTGATCATGGAATGCCGAGTATAACATCCAATGGAGAATTAAAATTACAACCCGCATACATCTCGAAAAAAGTAAGAAAGTCGCAGACTTGGTGAACAATAATATTCAAAGTTTCTTTAAAATTCCTTTCATTATAACTCTTTTAAAACAAATTTTACATATTTTTTGTTTCTGGCCACCGTTTGTAAATAAATAACTGGGTAAACATGGAAAAGTCCATATCGCCATCTCATTTAAGAGTGCAGTAAAGTTCAGCCTAATTTGTGAAGAAACTCATAGGGAAGAGCCGAGCCTGTTCGAGGCCTCGCGGTTCTCAATCAGAGCCTTAAGAGACGGAAAATTCTATTCCCTCACTTGTCGGCCAGCAGCCCTCCGACAGGACAGCCCACCATGCAGCCAATTGTGAACAGCATTTGAAAGAGTTCTCGGACGTAGGCTTCCGAACACACCAACTCAAACTGTAGCGAGACGTAGCATATGTTACAACGGTAATTAAAATAAGATTATATTATTTATTCATTTCTAAGTTCCTATTAAACAGCTTTTTGAGGCATTGACTCGTAGCATCCAACTAAAAATGCGTATAGTTTAGAATGTCAGTATTTTAAACATATTAAACATATTAAATGCAGCAATATATGCAATTTCATTTGATCAATTAGAATGGACTAATGTTGAAGTTTATAGGTTGGAATTGGAAAATTCAAGTAATTAAAAATTCACTTTCATCTTCGACGAACCTATAACTATTTATAATGTTTAATTTATGATATTCCATTGAAGGCAATGAAATTACTCGCCTCTTCTGTCAGGGTGAAGTGATGAATTTCATGTGAAAATTGATAAAGTTTGCAGCTTCGTGTTTCGTTTGACTCTCCTCCTGCCGATACCACGATGCATTCCGAACTGCATTTGGGAATAAATAAGATTATTTTGCTCACTCAATTAGAGACTTATTCTGTGGTGAACAATATAAGATAATATAACTCACTCAAGTTGTGATTTATTTGGAGTAGGACTTTGATCATTGAAAATTCTCGCTACGCCCCTTTGGATTGCTAGCTAATTCAAACCAATTAGATATAATGACTTTTAGAGAAGGACAATGATTTACGTGACGGTTTGTTAAGAGAATTTGCGTATCTGTCCTGCGCAGCTGTCTCCATTGTAAGACTTGGGTAGAGTGAAGTGGACTTGGGCATGGGACTTAATGTGGGAGAATTTGTTAGGTGCTCTTACAACGTTTACATTTAACATGAACTCGCAGGCAGGACCCATCAAGTTCACTTGCACGTAGTTAACATGCGTTATATACTAAAACTCCATTATCGTAAATACCACGGGCTTGTTTATCATCAAGTGCATTTCATCATTTTGTATTGTACGAGATCAAATAAGACATAGAGTGATTATATCAATTAACATGTCCATATTATATATATCGTGTGCCAATCTAAACAAACGTTTAATTAACGAGTGATTGCCAATTTTATTCTGTGATTACTTTTATTACAGCCAGACTATTTTGACCCTTCGGTCATGCAGGGCTCCGTATTCGAAGAGTTAACTAACGCAAAAATCAATCAATTGTTGGAGGATTCTCCTAAGTTTACACTATTTCTATAAATATGCAATGACTTATCTTAATAATTAACGATTCACCTGAACGAAGCATAACTTCTTCTAATTCCTCATAATGTCTTATGCAAATTAAAGCAAAATTTTACTAAATCTTATACCTCAGAATTCAAATGATTAGGCCACTCAATACCACATCGTTGCCCTATCAGCATGAATTTGTAAACGTCTAAATGTAACTTGATTGCACTTTAAATTAAAAGACATAACTTTCCTCTGCCTTCGCCATGTTAAGGACTATGCACGTACGTGTTGGTTACAATGACGTCCGATTGATGGCGGTCGAGACAGGTAAACTGAACTGGCGGAGATATGAACTGGGATCCAATGAGATTAACCACCTCCGACATTGGTCCTGTATGGTGCCCATTATAGAGAATGCGTTAGATTTGTAAATGTTAAATACGTGAAATGGGTAGAGTTACTGTGCGGAAAAGCTGGAATTTAAGGCATGGAATACATGGAATATCTATGCTAAATAGTTCTATTTGTCATGAAGTTAAATTATCAAAATAGTTTTGTTTGTCCTCATGGCTCCTGCATGCAAGAACCAAGTAATTCAGTCAAACAATAAAATAGATATTTTCATGGCACATCCATCTTTTGTGCGGTTAAGGCTAAAAAATTGAACTGAACATAAGAAAATTAAACAAATTTTATTGAAGTTTGAGTGAGTATTCACGACTCCCAAGTGGTGTCGAGTTCATATAGTATACTTAGTTGCACCAGTATACGCAATGTGTGTACAATCAACCTAGACACTTGGTTTTCATTTCGTAATTTTAGGTGCAAAATTTTACGGTTGTAAAAAATTTAACTTGACCCGTCCATATTCTTTTTATTTTTATTTATATTATTAGTGAAAAAATGTAGCTTTAAAAATTCTTAACCACCCAACTGTTTATCCATTAAAATATTTATATAGCATTGGACTTGTTACCTTCTGCTTATGAATGTTCATCATGTCTATGTTACTGAAATGGAACATTTATGGATGCATAAGTCGGTAAAATTTCATATTTGTTGTGATTTAAGATTTTACGGCTGGAGAACACTAAGAGTGGGGATAAAAACCATTGCTTTTTTTCACACAATCTCTCACGCAGAGCTGGGCAGCGCTACTTGGAAATGTAGCGGCGCTACCGCTACCGCTACATGCTCTAAATGTAACGGGTGCTACCGCTACCGCTACACCCACTAGATTGTAACGGGCTCTACCGCTACCGCTACAGTAAAATGTAGCGCGCTACATTAGCCGCTACAATGGCCAAAATTATTGGAAATCTCTAAATATTTATTGTTCTGCTATTGGGATTTACTCATTAACATCTAATGATAATAAAACAATTTTAAAACATTTCAATGCAACTTCATTGCAATTTTCCTAACCGAACTAGTATGGGTTACCCCAGGGTTAGATACAGTAAATAAAAGTTACAGTTATTTTTATGTTTTACCTTCCCTACATGGATGTGAACTTGAATCTACCAATCTAAGAAATTATCCACATATACATATAAAAATCAGTATTTTTTGTATATATATGTGGATTATTTTTGAGATTGGTAGATTAAAGTAGACATCCATGTAGAGAAGGTGAAACATAAAAATAACTGTGTAAAAATAACTGTAAGCAAACAGAAAGATGAAAATAACCTGTAAGTGGTAACTGGTAACAACTTAACAAGTAACAACTAACGTGTTGACACTAGTAACAGGCTGAGGTTGACAACATTACACCGAAATCTTTCGTACAGTTTTATTCTGTAATTTATATTATGTATGTATCATGCTGGTTTTTAAATAATATTTGATACTATTAAGGGGACCGGCTACCCTAAAAATCGGAAATTTTGGCTTTACCGTTTTCTTGACTCATTTTGTAGCTGCTGAAAAGGCGCGTCTAACGCAGTTTACCGCATGTCTGTGCGTGCTATAATTTTTGCTTAAGACATATTTAAAAATATATATATGAACATTTTTTAACAATATGTACAAAGATTTGTTTGAATTAAATCTGTATATATAGATCATTACTCTCGTTAATTAAAAAGTGTTTGCACTCGTTTAAAAGCTACAAACCAGAATATCCCAGTGCCCCCTACATTTTAATATCAATATCAATAAACTACAATAAACTAAACCATCTTACATCCCTAAAAAATGGGTAGAACGCGAAAAAATGAAAAAAAATAAAAAATCGGGGTTCTACAGTCGCTAGATATTGTTGTTACAAATCGAATGATATGTGTCTCGACATTGTAGCATGTGATTTGCAAAAGTTACAAACTTTTTTAGAGTACCCCTTATATGCCGTTTTCTATTAATTCCACGTTTTCTTTCATTTTTTTTAATTTACACGAACAAAAAGGTCTTAGATTTCTGTATTACATATGTGTACCAAGTTTCAAAACGATCCGTCTGTAAACAAAAAAGTTTTGTTGGAGGGTAGCCGGTCCCCTTAAGTAAAATTTAAAGACTTTATCTATAAATGTAGCGGTATAGCGCTGTTGCGGCAAAACCTCGTATCGCTACTTAAATATGTACCGGGCGCTACCGCTACCGCTACATTCCCTTAAATGTAGAGCCGCTACCGCTACCGCTACTGAAAATGTAGCGACCGCTAGTAGCGGCCGCTACATGCAGCGCGCTACTGCCCACCTCTGCTCTCACGCTATATTCAAGTCTACTCAGTTGCAGTCTGCATGGGAATGGTGCGTAAATCTCAGGGTTAACATTCAATCAAAATGATATAACCCCTGTAATATTAATTGCGAAATACTTACTGTACACGGGAAACAAGGAATTCAATTTTCATTGTAAAACACGCCACTCAAGTTCATATTGCATTTTGAAAATGTCAAATATGCGATTCGGATATTTATATGCTGCGGGTTACTCATGGGTTAGTCATGAACTAATTAATGATTGTTCCATCTACTTCTATTACAATCAACGAGACTTTCATCAGAAACATCGTCAATAATATCGTGAACTGTTGTGTCAATCAGCAAGCCGAACGGCAGTCTATTATTGCATCGGTTACCTAATTAAAGACGACTTTAATTTTATGAATTCGACGAAGAATAAATTCCTCAACGCAGAATTGATACTCACCCAAGGACGCGACTGCGAATAACAGGTATGTTGCTGGACCCACACCCAGCGAGGTGATGATCTCGTCCATGTCGCTGAATCGCAGTCTGTCGCCGCCGCCTTGTTGAACAGTTGCGTCTGCTGATATGGATCTATCGTATCATTGACTCGTTTTAAGAGAGGGGTTATATGATCGACAATAGCCTTTGCAAGCTGGTTAATACAATAGTATTTACTTATTGCAAATAGCGGGTAACGACCAAACTTATATTCTGCATGAGCTTCTTCGGAAAATAGAAGTGGAAATAAGTAGATTAGCCATCTGACTTTTGATGCAAAGCTCTCTGTTGAGCAGCTTTTTGTTATTGTTGTCCTGTTCAGGTTGTGTCCCACTACACTCGCATATATTCTTGTAAACCATAGGTAAAATCAGCAAATTCTTATTTTCTTTAAGAAATACCAGTTTTTACCGCATATGCCGTATTGGATGAGTCATAGGACATGACTGAATTTCACCCTCAGTTGACTTATTTTATTTGAGTTAATGGTTCGTGTTTAACTCTCATCCTCATAATCAATTAATGTAATTAATTTTTATGATTAACCTTTCCGATTCAGTTTTATGCATGCTGCTTTCTTCTATGAACCGAACTCTTAAAATACGGAGACCTTCTCTTCTATTTCTCTTCGGTTGATCTCGACAAATCCCCATGCCTCGTGGTTCACTTTACGACCAGTGGAAAGAGAGAAAGATATTCGAACTCCTGTTAATTGAGCCCTCTGTATTTCTTTACTTGTTTGCAGCTGCCTGAATTGCGGCGCCTAATTTTTTGTTTCAACTGGCGCCTTCTTTTAGGGATATTTCATTGGAACGTCTCATCGTTCCTTGTTGTGAAAATAGACACGTACAATGGCTGGAATTTAAGGTAAAAATTTCAAACATTTTCTTATCTCTTTTTTAGAATAGCACTTAACTTTTATTTGAGTAAGAGTCACAGAGTGAAGCAAATTTATCCAACAGACTCTTTACGTTTCTACTTCCTTTAATTCAGCTAAACCTTTGTTAATAGATTAATTATCTGCGACAGTCCAGATTTTGGTCTAATCAATGCTGGCACCGCTGATTTTATTCACTGGGTTTGGGCCGAGTGGTAACTATCACCAAAATTGAATTAGAAAATTGAAGATTTGAGACCCAGCTAGCGGGGGCAATTATGGTTCTGAGATGTCTAGAATCGGCAATACACCTGATATAGCCTAGTCTTTCTTCTAAGTGCTTAAAGCCATGGTTGAAGCAGTGAGTTTCTGGTTCAATCTTGTCTACCTGCTAAAATTATGGTCGAAAACAGCTAGTCGGCTTTCACTGATGTGGCAGGCTAGTTAACAGCAAGATTTAAATTAATTAATTAATAAATTTAAAACTATTTGAATTCAAAATTGGCGACAGGCCTGAGATGGCATATCCAACTCGATGCCTTTATTACTATTAAGAAAACATGATATACCGTATATTTCCAGCTTCTGGATGTGCGCTTTGACGCAGCTACTGGGTGTGCGTGGCAATTACTGCGGCTACTGTTAGAAATACATATACATACTGTTGTATTGTCGCAGCTTTCACAAGCGTTAGTTAGCGTCAATATCAACGCTTTTAGTCTGGCCATAAGCCGTAGCAGTAGCGCCGTATGCCCGCAGCCACTATATAGTGGAGTATAGTCTTCAAGGAGGCTACATCCCAGCATGCGCCTACCTCCACACTTACCCCAACTCCCCACCTTGCTGCAGCCAATGACAGGCTTCAGCGTCCCACTTACTCCGCTGTCTACCTTACTGCAGCTAATGAGGTTAGGTTAGGTCCGGAAGGGTTTGTTTGGAGTCAGGGTAAGTGTGGGAGTATAAGCGAAACGAATTTATCATGAATGGATAGAGAGGTGGATGCATATGGTATGCCTGAAAGAATTGAAGAAATGGTATGTTGTGAAATAATTCTGGGAAGACATAAGTGGGGTGAATGAGGAATTTATGCCAGCTGAAAATGTCATCTCACTAAAACATAATGGCCTGAGTGGAATGGACGGGATGGAGGTGGGAGGTGGGAGTGCGATTGGCAGACTGACTGATCTATTCAATTTCGTTCTGACACGTGAATGTGTACCTGATGCATGGAATGAAAGCAAGGTAACCTTGTTGCACAATGGAGGCCACAAGAGCAACTAGGAGCTGAAAAACTACAGGCCAATTGCTCCTGCTGACACCTGTTGCAAGATTTTCTGTTCAGTTTTGAACGAGCGAATGCAAATATGTGTGAAGCACGGAAGAGTATACTTGGTGAGGAGCAGAATGGGTTCAGGTGTGACAGAAGAGCAAAGATAACATATTTGTTGTGAATGAATTGATCGAAAAATTGAAAAGAGATGGATGGAGAGTCTACTTGGCATTCATAGATATAGAAAAAGCATATGATATGGTCTATTGAAAATTTTTGTGCCAGATGTTAGAAAAAATTGATGTGAGTGAAAGGTGTGTGAGGATAGTTAAAATTTTGTATGTAAATACTCGAGCAGAATTTAGGCTTGAAGACAGGGTGATGTGCGCTGGGGGTAAACGAGAAGGATGTATCCTGTCTCCATTTCTCTTCAGCATATACACTGAAGAGATGGCTGCTAGACTGAGAAGAATGGATGTGGGAGTGACTGTAGGAGACGAATGACTAAAAATGCCACTTTATGCTGATAATACAGTAATAATGAGCGAAAATTTGGTTGAACTTAATTCATAGTATGCTTTACTGTATAACTGAGTGTGGCAAGAATTTTTGTGCGCTTTAGCCCAGAGAAGAGTCAGGTGCTCGTTGTGAATGAAACAGCTGATGATGTGCATAGAGTGTGGCAGCTGGGAGGAAATGCGATTGTGATGTCAATTGAGTACAGATCCTTGGGAATGAGTATTGACCAAAAAGGATGTGAGTGAACTAAAGCGATGAGTCTCAGTAAAGCAAATCAGTGGTTAGGAATACTGGGCAGTGCAGTAAGAGTGAAGGCACGTAAATATGATGTTCTAAGAGAAGTATGGAAAAGTATGGCGGTACCTGGAATAATATATGGAATGGACGTTATTGCATGAAATGATGGCGAGCTGTATAAATTGGAAGTTGTACAGAACAGGATAGCTACCCAGTTAAAATTTAGGGCAGGGAATAGAGCAGGCCGTCGCCGGCTGTAGAGCCGACGTAGGGACGCGACAAAGTCGCGATAGTGCAGAAATGTCCGCATTAAAGACGATATCGTCAGCCGCGTAGCAGCACTTATAATTAACCTCTGAGTACCTGCCTAGGTGTGCTCTGTCCTGCCAACACGCAGCCCTCACTGAGCACCGCCTGCTCAAACCTGCCCAACGCTCGCTCTGCATATGGGGCGGCTCCGGCAGTGTACGCGGCAGTTACGCCTTACCGTTTGTCAACCACGATTTAAAAAATTTTTCCTTCTCTCTCTAAGTCTCACTTCTCTCATGGAAGAACAGTCTGTATTGATATTAGTTTTTCACATTCACATCTTATTGAATTTAGCAACGTTTAGAACCTAACAAATTCAATTATCGAGGAAATATTCACATCAAATTACTTACCGCTATGAACTATACCTGCAAACGTCAACGGCAGCTCCGAGAATCGAACGCAGATGCTCATAATTTGACAAACGTCTTTGTGGAGAACGAATGACACGCGTCGTTAAAAAGAATGAATGAAACGCGTCTTTAATGACTTCGAATGAAACACGTATTTGGAGAGAATGAGTGAATCGCGTTTTTGTGGAGAATGAATCAAACCCTTCTACGGAAGGATGAATGAAACGCGTGCATGGGGAGAAGAAATGAAACGCGTATTTGAGGAGAAGAAAAGAAACGCGTATAAATGTTCTTTGTGAGATCTTTGCAGACAACTCAAGTATAGAGTTGTCATGCAGCATCTTGCGCAATTTATCGGAACCCATGTAATAATGTGTTATGCAGTCTGGTGTGCAATTTTTGAAGCATACTCGTGAAATATTATCGCATTCGGTAATTCTATATTATATAAAATCACTTTTTCGTAGTTTGGGTAAGAAACCATAAGAAATTTGGGAGTTCGGAAGGTGGAACTCTCACATGATTATGATTTAGGTAGATCATGTAATACTGAATAAATTATTGCGGATGCGTAAAATTTGCGAAAAAATTACCATTTTGCATCAGTGTAATAAAGCGTAAAATGTTAAGTTGCGTATGCTAGCAGTGCATTGATATATTTTCCTAATTAAAATAAACATTCTCCTCTATCTTCTTCCTGTTTTTTTATAATAGTATTCTCTCAATCGATCCATTTGTACTTTCCCTTCACTAAATCGAATGTTTTTGAGATCTAAAATTAAAAATCAAGCCATTTCTGATGGCAGCGACCAATTTTACACAAAATGGTTCCACCTACATTTGCACGTCTTCCACTACCTCTACTATTTGCTTTAATTCGAAATTTTTATATCATATTAATGACTTGCCCGTCATATGTACTCGTACATGATAATTTGTTATTCTTCTGGTGCTGCCCTTATATTTTATTTCATTTCGTACTCTTATGTTTGATCATTGCATTTCGACTGTCAAGCATTGTTGTAAACTAAGAAAATAACTTCCTCTCTTCCTTCTAACGAAAACTTATGACAATTATTTACTTGAATACCATCGACGATGATATTTTCACTCACGCAACCAATAAAAATTTATTTTTTTTTTCATTTTTAAAGATTGAAGTTGCTAATGGTTCTCGGGCAATCTGGTGAACTCAAGCAAAATGTTAATTCAAATCAATCTCGGCATGTTACTGCAGCCGAGATTCTCTTGAAGTTTGAAATGACATCAAATACATCAGTTCTTGACGCGGCTCTTAATAAATTAAAATTGTTTAATAAACAATCGTAAATGGTAATGAAATGCATTCAGACAATTTCATAGGCTGGTATAAGTACATCATATATCTTACCTCCCAGTCGGTAATTCTGGAGGAAAAAAATTCAAGTCAAAATATTATACGGGTACACACATATTATACCGGTACACAAGCTAGTTTTTTGCCACACTAGTTCATTCTCTACCAACCTATACCCAACCGAGCGAGTGGACGACATATAAAGAAATGAACACACAACTTGAGTGTGCTTGCGTCTGCACGTAAATGAACATTTAAACAGAGTGTGTCAGCTAAAGCACAGCTGCTTCATTAAACGTCACATTCACACACCCACATTGAATGCACGGTGACTGCCAACACAACTTACCAGCTTCATTGTACCTCTCGAGTGTAACATTGTACCTTTTTTATTCACTCGCTTAATACCACTATATTGTTATAGCAAGGTCGAAAATTAACATGCGAAAGTTTGAAAATGTCCTAATTATTTAAATTCATTTCACTCTCGCCAGTAGTTTTTACTTTTTATTGGGCATAGGGCAACGTGGGGCAGCGCGCCCCCCACTTTTTTTAAACTAAATTTTTGATGAAGTTTTAATTGATACGAGGTGGTTCTTTGTTTTGTTTACAGGTGCAACTAATGAGGAATGTATGATGTGAATTAGACGCCTATAGAGTTATTCAATTTTTAATGAAACACTATTTTGTAAAAAGTGTCAAAATGGGCCCATTGCCCCACCCCTGGGGCAATGGGCCCATGGGCTTGGGGCAAGGCGCCCACCCTTAATTGGTCCCTTTACCACAATTGCATATTTTTCGTTTAAAAATGATAAAACAACACTTTACAGTTAAAAATAAGAAAAATGTAATAAAAAAATGACATTCATTCATTTATTAACAACTCAAAAATCATATCAATAACTTGAAAAAAATATACTCTTGGCTTAAAAAATCTATCACTGATGTGAAGAAAAATATTTCATTGACATAACATTATATATCCTTGACTTGGAAAAGATATCTTTGCGATAAAAAATTCGTCCTTAACATGAAAAAATGTATCCTTGACTAGATAAAATATATTTAGTTGATCAGAAAAAAACTTCGTTCCAGTTTCGTCCATAATCCAGATATTATGTGCAGATTCAAAAAGCTAGTCATAGTTTGAAAAGGTCATTGAGACAAATCTAATGATGTATAATACAAGACTTCACCATGGGCGCTTTGCCCCGTGACACGCGTGGGCCCGTTGCCCCCACTAGGTATCATTTCAATTTATGTCGTGTCAACATTTTATTTTAAAAGCTAATAGTCTAAACTTGGTCTCAAAATTACTTTGAAAAAATAATTCAAAGTAATTTCAAAATCTTCATCTATAGTAATGGAAAAAAACTTTATTTAGCGGCAAAAAAATTTTTATCTAGACTAAAACAGTTATTCGCAAAGAACTTAATAACGCAAACATTTAGCAAAACGTAAATCCGTACACTTCATCCTAGTGAAATTGTCGACCGGCGGTAGAGAACACGGACCAATATCTGCCATACTTAGCGATAAACCCGCTATGGGCCCGTGACCCGCAGTGGGCTCGCTGCCCCATGTTACCCTACCGTCTGGCGCCTTGAAGTTCAAAACTGAACAAAATTAATTATTGAATTCTGAGATGGTTCAATTACCACGGTTTTAATATTAAAATAAATACATTAAAATAATATATAATAGTGTTGTGGAATAGTTGCAATTTAAATCATGTCTCATCTATAGAAATTTTTACCTTTTAGTTCAGGGACTTTAGGCTTTAGTTTGGCAATTTATGTTTTGTATATTTCATGGATATAAGTCATCCGTGTTTTAGAGTATGGCTGGAGTGGACTGCATTGCACAGCGCAATTTTAAATACCCAGAGTTTTAAATGCATGTGTGAAAACTCAGTGTCTTTTATGCCTACTGAATCTGCGAGACAGTGCTCGAGTTGCAACAGAGATTGTCTCCCAGCAATATGATCTCCATATTAATTCAAAGTGCTGTCCATATTCTATGGCGATAATTTAGTTATATCAAGCTGAAAAATATTTACAATAGAAATCATTCTATAATTGAGCGAAGTAAACTTTCATTAGAACTTGAGGAAAAATGGACCTTATAACATTAACTTATTAATTTCATCGTTTGGATTATGCATGAGCTGGTATTAGTTTATTTGTATTTATATTTGATTAATTGTTCGTACAAAAATTATACTAGATAATTTATTCCACTCCTGTGCATATGATTTTATTTCTCGATTTGAATATCGGTAATGAAATTATTTTTTCGAAACTTATTCCTAGAGCTAAGGAAATAAATGAATATTTGCTATATTTTCTTAAACCATGATAAATGGCAAGCATTTATTTAGCCTAATTGGTCAATTTGTTCAGAAAAGTTACCCTACAAAATGAGTTGATGTTGATAAGGTGCTTTTGCTGGGCGTTTCAGAAAATTTAGCTTGTCTCATGTACATTATTCTTCTCATTAATCAATAATTCAAATTAAAAATTCAATTATTGTATTTAGCGCCTGTATCTTGCTGAGAAACATTGAAACATGCCAAAGCACACAATAAAAATTTCATTATTATCAACTTATAAAGATTGTTAGAGAATATGATATCCGATTTTCTCAAGTGCACGTTTTCTCAGGATTTAAGCGGCATACATCTTTCAACGAATATACGTGAAAATTTTGTTGGTCATTTTTTTTTGCACGGAAGTCTGAAAAACATTCAAAGCAAATAATTTAAGCCTCAAAAACGTTTATTTATGCTAAACGCTCGATGAGCGTAAGTGTAATTTTCCCGACATAAATGAAAGAGAAACAATCCTAATGACAAATTTACTACGAATATCTCTCGTGCTCTATATATAACGGAAACAAAATATTATTGTCTGTAACTGTAATTATTACTTTAATGCCGGTTATGAGAAACAATCTTAATGGCAAATTTTCTACGAATATTTCTCGTGCTTTATATATAATGGAAACAAAAGATTATTGTTCGTAATTTTGATTACTCTTTTAATTTCGGTATAAATTCGAATCGCAAGTCAAAATGTGTTGCTTAATTTCGTCTAAAATTTGTGCTTCGTCGGATATTTTTCATCTCTTCTATTAGAGTTATAACCGAGAAGAATTCTCCTAAGATTTTGTTTCATTCCTGCTTATATTTAGCTTAAAATAGATCGAAGTGTTTGTCTTTTTCTTCCTCAGAGGATAGTTAAAGTGACTACAAAAATGGAATTTAAAACTTCAGAAACGTACCGAAAATTACTGAAAAAATTCAGATACCGTCTAGGCCTCTACCCGAGAGTTGCTACAATCTGCCTAAAGTTTTACTGATGCTGCTTGGCCACCGGAACAAAATCAAATTTTGGTCATTATATAACCCTTTCCGATTTTTTTTACGCCAGAGATTATGAGACGAGTTGGCCGAGCCGAGTCATACCGAGCTTGCAAGTTGCCTATAGCGGCTGATCTTCAAACCCTGAACCGAAGCGGACATATGAGCGGCTGGCTCACGCGATCCCCGAGTCCTGGGCGGCACCTATAATGCAGTGTTCGGCCCGCATCTAAATCATGCGTTGTAATGCTTCCGTTAGAAATTGGTTCTGTATCAATTGGATGAACTAATTACTTCTAAAATCTATAGAATATGCAAAACGTATTTCACGAGCCAGGCCAACTCAGTAGGGCTGACTGCAGCTTCTTGCACAAGACTGCAGCTTCTTGCACACTTATTGCACAAGACTGCAGCTTCTTGCACAAGACCGCGCCACGGACTACAAACTGTACGTTGGTGCCGTGCGCACACCTGTATGTCACCTGTTGCTGCGCTCAGTGTCGCCAGTTTTCAAGATTACGACAGTTACATTAAAAAATTATTTGCTTACTGAGGTTGAGTTGATGCTCAAAAGTAATTCTTCGTTTGCGAAAAAGCAAGTAGCAACCATTTCATAATGAAATAAGAATTTTTCTCGAAAAAATTTGTTCAGCACCGACTCGTGAGCAAAAATCCAGCACCGACTCCGTGGATTTTTTTCGATCAGATATTCTTCTCTTATTACAATGTAAGTGATTTTCGTTTGTTTTGCTGGATCGTTTCAACTATTAATGCAGCAGTTTTAGAACTCTTCATTGCCCTCCAGTTTGTTAACTTTGCTTATCATTTTTCACCACTCCTAATTAGTACAGTTCAATTACATTTCTAACTGCTTACTGCACAAACGAGTTAGCTACATTTTAAAGTTTCGATTGGTTTCTCATCTTTCCTACATAAATTGCTTGGAGCAAGATGAGAATATTGTTGGCAAATACGTGGCTTTTTGTGAAATGCTGTTTGAGAAAAATGTAGATTTATTCCAGATCAGCTCTGAAGTATGGCAAGCAGCATTTTGTCATGCAGGCATTTTTCGACTGGTTAAGTTTTCAGCCACAAGAGTTGGTGGGAAACTAAGTGCAACAAATACGGTCAACACGAATACAATTTACACAGGGATGATTCACTCCACCAATATGATGCCATTCCTGTTCGAGGGTCGCTATGATCGAGGATCTTGGGAACGCCTGTACTCATATTGGCTTATGCTCACGACTGCAATGCATTTTTTCTATCTTCATAAATTGTAACCTTATTTTCTTCGTTTCAGAGTTTCGGTGGGAGTCTATGACAATTTTTATTTTGGTTCAATGAGTGTATATGTGCTGTCATTTGGAATGGTTTATAATATTTTGATTAATATTTTCAATCCTGCCTGCCTTCCGCAGTCATTGTTTCTTGCCCAGTCGAACTAAGAGGGATTCCGCCAAGTTTATTTTGAACACTGTCATACCGAGCTTTGGTAACAAAGTTATCTTTTTCCGAGCTGTGAACTTGCGTGCTCCCAAGCGTCTGCAGCAGAGGCTTGTTGTTGGTCTCTGGCAGCAGCAATATCAGGAAGGCTGCCAGACCGGCGAAAATTGCGTAGATGGTCAAGGGCAGCCATGATAGGCCTGCAGGCTGGAAAAAGCGCGGATGGATAATTAGTGATGGATAATTTTAAGCAATGCAGTTTACACGGTTGTTCGTATTCTGTACTGCAAACGCCGAAAGGTCAGATCATTCAATGCGTAACTTGATAGAATTAATCATCAATCTTCTATTGAACTCGGTAGTAAAATTTTCGCAACATAGAACTTGTGTGATAATAATATTGTACAGATAGAGACAAAGTGAACATCTTGCGTAAAAATGCAAATAGCCAGAATTTCCTTTATTTATCATTCCTTATTAAACTCTTTTTCAATTGATTTTTCTCGAGGTTTGGGCGAACTGAAAGAATTTTAGATATATATCGGTTCAGTTTAATTGCCTCATCGACGTGAAAAATTTATTCTAGAAGCGCGTTTAAACAAATAGTTAGTTTTTGTATTCAATATATGACCTTCCCGACTAACGGAATCACAAATAAATTATGAAACTGTTGAGGACTAATGTTATGAATCGAGGCAATTCATTCCATCACCTTTTTATCCAATGTAAGATTCATCATAAGCTGTGCAGATAATTGTTTCAAATGTGGTTGTTAGCCTTGGTTCACACCTACTGCCAGTCACGATCCAGTCCAATATTTTCTAATGTATTTCTATAGAAGCATTAAAATCATACGTGCAAGGAGGCACCTGCCATGCCAGGTACAGTCCAACCACGATCAAGGCAAACGATATTTTAACCGGGCGTGACTGCAACTTCGCCAATTATTATTTTTTGTCAACATACCAGATTTTAGCAGGTAAACGAAATCGAACATATTCATACGAGACACCATCTACCCGACTTGTCAAATCTGGGATGCTGCTCGGACTGGCATAGCACATGAAATGAAAGGAACAGAAGTGAGGGCGACCCGTGACCGGACCGAACATATGGATGCACCTGCATAGCAGGGAACGGACCGTGACTGGCAGATGCCTGGCACGTGCCCGGCAGTATGGGGTAAGTCAAGACTAAACCACCATAGGATCGGCAGGACTTCAGCAACAAATATCTCGATGTATCATAAGTGAATATCTCAATTATATGATATAACAGTGTTTCAAAATGCAATATAATGAACACGAACCAGTATAATTTTCAGCAACGGGGGTATGATTTCCCCAACGCTGCAGGTGAAAATAGCCAAGCTGGTGCCCAGAGATCGAAGAGAAGTGGGGAACAGTTCGCCACAGAACAACATATTCACCTGTGAACAAGATGGGAACCTCAATGAAACAAATCTAATTGTCATTTGGTTAACTCAAATGTAACAAAAAATTTTAAATACTTCTGAACAATTCAACTTAATTTATAATTCTTCATGAATTGGTTTAATTTAGTTTTTTCATTCAGAGTAACGATTATATATTGCATCTCAAGCTTAAGAATATTAGCATGTTTGAGCTGATTGATTTTTAAACATTGGTTTCATGCCGTCCATATCAAGTAAAACCCTCATTTTTATTTTGATTTTGCTGGTTAGCAGCTAGGAGTCATTTCAAGAATTTAATATTTATATGGTATACGGCGTTAATCAGATCTACTGTACTGTACACCGATGAACTGATATACTCGAGCCCAGCGGAGCCGAGCGCCACAGCAAAAAGTGGAGGACACCGCTCGGCTAGCCTTTAATTTGTTCGGCTCGGCTAGCCTTTAATTTGTTCGGCTCGGCTAGCCTTTAATTTGTTCGGCTCGGCTCGCCTTTAATTTGTTCGGCTTGGCTCACCTTGATTTTGCTCGGCTCGGCTCGTTAGGCCCCATACACTGGCGCATTTGGTACGTTTAAAGTGATTAGAGTAGGAATTACGAGACTAGGATGTGATTTTTGAGAGAATACGATTACCAAGATAAAGGGCAAAGTAGGTTTTCTTGTTCATGGAGGGGGGTTGTTTAGGGTAAAAATCAAAGCGACGCGCGTCCGGGTTGCGGGGTATATATATGTAAGTTGCAGGGCGTTCGTCAATCGTCAGGAGTCAGTTCTGGAGTCGCAAGCTATAGGCAGTGAGTCTTGAGCGAGTTGGCAATCTAAACTGCCGCGGGGTAGTTACCTGCATTTGGCTGCGTGACCAAGTTGGTGGCCAGTGTAGTTAGTGTTGAAGTGAAAGTCGATACTGCCAAGGGAAACGTACGCTTACGAACGACGGGATTTAATATGTACAAGCCGACAGAATCTTTACAGAAGGATTTCGAGGATACTCCCGAACGATCCTCTTGACGACTCGAGTTGATCAGCTAATGGTGAGAGAGCCACTCGACAGTCTACGTTCCAGCATCGTTCTGACTCAGCCGTTTTTTGAATCTCCAGTCCCAGAATTGACTCTAGTCACTCCAAAGAAGGTCGAGAGTCTGCGCCAGCACAGCCGCATCAAGTACACTTGGGAGACGCCAACACAATGATTTACTATCAACTACGGCAGAGCAAGTTACGGCGAAGTCGACCAGCCCTCAGTACAGTCGAAGTCGATCAGCCCATATCACACTAGACTCCATCAATAACTACGGCGGAGTCAACTAGCCCCAGTGTCCGTCCCGAACCCAGTGATGCACCAGTTGGGAAACTTAAGATAGGCAGTTCTTTTATTCGACGCTGTCAAATTTCTGTTCGTAGGCCTGTGTCTGATTCATTATTTCAGTGTTATTACCATTATTAATTACACTGTCCGATTTTTTATAATATAGGTCGTGTTAAATCTTTCCATGTGTTGTCATTTATCCTTTTGTTAACTCGTGAAGAGTAATAAAAACTGAAGAGTAATAACTCAGATTGATCAACGTAAAATATTAGGCTATAGGAAAAATTACTTTAATCAGAAGATGGCCAAATTAGACTCGCCAGCCGATTAGATTCCATTGTGTATGAGGCCCTGGAGCTGCCATGCGGAGGTCGCTTCAGACCTTTTCTCATTTTACCTTTAATAAATTATGTGATTTGAGAATATTTGATAATGATACGGCAGTGCAAATGTTAATACGGTTGGTATTTCAATGCAATATCCTGATTGTTATTGACGGACCAGTAAAACTTTAAAAATAATCGTGTTCTTCAGATTTGATCTCCAAATATAACTTGACGTTAGTGTATTCAAAGTCATTTCCAATTAAATAGAAACTTATTTGAAACACTTGATTCCAAAAGTACTAAAACCCCTGTGTGTCTCTCGGACAATTTACAAATGTAAACCGGGCTAGCTACTTTTTCTCTTGCTATACAAAAGATTACTTGATTAATAAAGAAATTCGATTCGTGACAACTTTGAATACTCGTATTATCTTTTAAAATCGAACAGGACTAAGGATTAAAAAACAGGATTAAACAGGCAGATGTGGGCAGTAGCGCGCTACATGTAGCGGCCGCTACTAGCGGCCGCTACATTTTCAGTAGCGGTAGCGGCACTACATTTACGGCAATGTAGTGGTAGCGGTAGCGCCCGCTACATATTTAAGTAGCGATACGAGGTTTTGCCGCTACAGCGCTACCGCTACATTTATAGATAAAGCCTTTAGATTTTACTTAAGGGGGGGGTATACCCTCCAGAAAAACTTCCGCATTTACTAACGGATCTTTCTGAAATTTCACACATATATGTAAAACCAAAATACAAGAACATTTTGTTCGTATGATTTTTTTCGGAAAAACTAATAGAAAACGTGAAATTTATAGAAAACGGACAAAAAGGGGTACTGCAGAAATCTATCTCCTCCTAGGGTTTTCAAGCTACAACATTGAGACGCATACCATTCGATGCGTAAAGACCATACCTATCGAGTTATCGAGCCCTTTTTTATTTTTGCCTGTAATTTTTACATGCATTTTTCCGTTTTCTTATCATTTTTTCTCATTTTCTTCAAAATTTTCCCCCTTCCCCTCATTTTGAATCCAAACTATGCACAAATCTAAAAAAAGGCTCGATAAATCGATAGGTATGGTCTTTACGAATCGAATGGTATATGTCTCATCGCCGTAGCTTCAAAACTCTAGGAGGAGATAGGTTTGCCGTGGAATAAGTGTGAATGTTCAGGAGAGCGCGACAAAGCCCCGAGCGCATCGCAATAGGCACTCAATGTAGCAAGGATGCAAAACTAAGCTTTATAGGAGATTGATTTCAGTCAAGGATGGTGGGAGCGACTGCATGCACACCTCCTCATACGACGCCAGGCGGGTAACTAAGGTGCACCTCAAGCCGACACTCTATTTAAAGTGCGCGCAGCTAATTTCCTCCTATTCTGTTTGTTAAAGAACTCCCTACCCTCCCTTTCACGATCTGTCGTGAACGCATTAATCAACGTACAGAGATGGTAATGGTACCATTGGATAGGGCAGAATGTCAGCTTTAAGATGAGACTAAAAACCGGAAAAGCCAAATCCGAAAACTTTAGGGTATACGCCCCCCTTAAGTTGTTACCAGTTACCACTTACATGTATTTTTTCATGTTTTAGTTTGCTTACAGTTATTTTTATGTTTCACCTTCCCTACATGGATGTCTACTTGAATCTATATATAAAAAATAAGTCTTTTATTTGTATATATATGTGGATACTTTTTGAGATTGGTAGATTAAAGTAGACATCCATGCAGGGAAGGTAAAACATGAAAATAAAATGTATAAAAAAAAATTTTAAAGACCACGTTTTTCATGTGGACTAAAAAGTAGAAAATAATTTTTCGGCAGCTACTGATCTCTGTTTGCTTTCATTCTCTTGATCTTTTGTATTTCAGTTGAAATATTTTACAACATCTAAAACGGAAAACGTGGGGCGCATCTTCATTTAGGCATGCCTTAATTTCAATTTTGAATTCAACCACTATTTCGAATTTCTCTATCACTATTCGTTACTACTCCATATACCTTTGATTTGATAGTGAGCTATTTAATGGTGAACTATTTAGATACTTAATGCATTTTCTTTTCAAATGTCTTAATATGCCTCTTAAATTGATTAGATATGGTCCACGCGTTCATTTACAATTCTCAAAATTTGATTCTTTTAAAATTTTCACATACCCTGACCTGCGTTATTCATGATTCATATCTTTACTTGCTTGAATTACTTATACACATTTCAAACTACCTATATTGGATGAAACATGATAAATCAATATACCAACAGTAAATAACAAAATTTGCTCAAATCAAATATATCAGCAATACGCTTATCAAATGTTCAATCATTTCAAGTAATCACTAAACAATTAAATACATATGCGCCCCACGTTTTTCGTTTTAGATGTTGTAAAATATTTTAACTGAAATACAAAAGACTAAGAGAATGAAAGCAAACAGAGATCAGTAGCTGCCGAAAAATTATTTTCTACTTTTTAGTCCACATGAAATACGTGGTCTTTAAAATTTTTTTTTATACATTTTATTTTCTACTTTTTAGTTTTATGTTAGTTTGTATGCTTGTGCTGATCAAATCTTGCAATCGAAATTTCAATTTCCTTTTTATAAAGAATAAGAACAACACAACTTTTCTAAGTACTTATAAATTTAGCTTATGGTTTATTTATTTTATTTTTATTTATTTATGGTGCGAGAATTAACCGCGTTTGTTAGTTCTGAAAATCGCCGCTTTAGGGGGAATGGCACTGCGATCGATTAAAGGAAAACAAATTTCCACTTCGAAAATTAATTTGTTTATAATAGTGATAAATACGCCTGGAAACGTGCAACAAATTATTGATTATTGTATTGTCATCGGGAGCTGAGCTTCCCTTAAAGTTTCAGAGCGCTAGCTAGCGGGAAAGTTGGTGAAATGTCGATTGCATGATTTGATCATCACAAACAGACAGACAGACGGACACGAAAGCGAGCTAAGAAAAACGTGGTAATAAGTAAATAACTAACTTCTATTTACTGTATCTAACCACAGCAACCAGTACTAGTTTGGTTAGGTTAATTGCAATAAAGTTGAATTGATATGTTTTGAAAATGTTTTATTCTCATTTAATGTTTATGAGTAAATCCCAATAACAGAACAATAAATATTAAAAGATTTCTAATAAATTTGGCCATTGTAGCGGCTAATGTAGCGCGCTACATTTTACTGTAGCGGTAACGGTAGCGCCCGTTACAATCTAGTGGATGTAGCGGTAGCGGTAGCGCCCGCTACATTTAGAGCATGTAGCGGTAGCGGTAGCGGCGCTACATTTCAAAGTAGCGCTGCCCAGCTCTGCAAATAGGATTAAAAATCGAACAGGAGATCGAAGTGCGTAGTTGAAGATGCATGCAAGTTTTGCAAAGAGACCTCGTTGAGAGAAGATGATCAGATGGTCATCTGTGAACACTGCGAGGATTTCATTTGCATCAGTTGCGCGAAGCTGAGCTCTGAAGAATACTCATTCCTACAGAAAACAGAGTCGTTTCACTGGTTCTGTAGCGACTGCGAGAAACCGACTCTCCGTGCCAGGAAAAGCGAGAAGCAGATGGAAGAGAATCAGCCTCCCTGAAGATATTGTTGACGCTCCGAGTATGAACGCGTTCAAGAACAGACTAGACAAGGCCATGCATGAGCATATGTTAAGTCTTAAAATGCCTCGTACCCTACGGAACAACTTATATCTAGAAGCGATTTTAAATCTACCGTCCGTAAGGCCAGTCTAGTCAAGAAAAGTACTTGAATCGGCGACAGGCCTATCCAGGCCTATTCTTTAATGCCGAAGATACTATACTATACTATACTATACTATCTTGAACTCAAATTTAAATGCTAAATATCAGTTGGTCACACAGATGGTGTGTAATATAACTTAATCAATAAAGTTGTATAGTTAACGTATATTCGTACCTGATAAACGCTGCTGATCATCGTGTACCCAAGCGAGACGAGTAAAATCTGCGACCAATCTGGAATTTGTTCCATCAAGTTATTACTATTCTTTAAACATTTATGCATTTGTTTGTTAATTTTTCATCTATGCATATTCAAACTTTTCAGAGTAGTGATACACGCTAAGTTTCATTGCAAAATGAAAGCACTAAGATGAGACACTACTAGTACTATTCAAAATAAAATTTGAGAGCTTCTTGGCAAATTATGACTTGTCTAACATATAACTGGTGTTTTCGTTTTTACAAATAATAAATTTTATCATTATCATTAAAACGTTCTCATGTCTCAGATCGCAGTGTTTCTTACAAGCTTCTACTATATTCGTTTGGCCCCTTATTTTTAGATATCTGATAACAAGTTTTAATTTTAATCTACCCACGTCCCACAAATATCGATTAAATTTTTCGATCTCCATTATTTTCATACATATTCACATAGCTCACATTTTGTCAGCATTTTCCTCCGATCATGGATACTAAAGTGCGTAAATCTAGTAGCTACTCACAATTTTGGTATCCTGTGACATTGAGAACCACGACGGTGATTTGCAGAGCACATGCGAGAAGAAGTCCTCCTATGAGGAACTTTTTTCTGCCTAGCCTCGCAGTGATGGGAGCCGCGACCGTATAGGCAGGGATTTCCGCAAGACCCAACACGGCCATACCCACATAGGGTGAGCTAACGGGCAAAGGTGCAACCATGAATTGCATATTTTTTGCGGGCAAGCAAGTCGTGTCATTTTGGGATTCATTTTTTTTGTATGTGCCTGTGCAGTAAGCACATTTGGAATAAAGCATAGGTAGACAGTCTTAAACTGATTTTTCACCCCTTTGACGTACGGGAATTGGTCAGCGCTGAGTGGTATGCTGATGTACAGGCAACCCTGCATCAGCCCCACAGGCAACAGAATGCCGGTCACTCTGCGCAGGTACGGCGACGACACCAGAGACTTGATGCGGGACAAGAACGTAGAAGATGGTTCCTCCTCACAATCTTTCTGCGGTTTAGGTAATGAGCTTCCTTTTAAATCGCAAGTTCAACGAGAATTTTATAACCGAGAAAACTCCAAGTAAATTCATTATGGGTTCATTAAAAATATGTATGCAAGAGTTAAAACGTTTTCGAGCCAACTCCATCATTAGCTGAAACATTTATTGAATACAAGTAAAATCAACAGAGAAAAGGCACATTTATGCAAAAGAGGTTACTACTTACGTACCTAAATAGCACACCAAGTAACATCAAAACTAGTGTCACTAGATTGCTTGAATCGTAGATTAACTAGAAATATAAAAGCGAAGAAAACTCCACAAAAATTCAACATATCTATGTTTAAAACGTTTCGGAGACCAGTTCCATCGTCAGTTCGATAAATCTAGAACACAAATACAGTCATAAAATTAATAAAGTTTGGAGTCAAAAGAAAAAAACTCAGAAGGTAAAAACTTAAATTTAACTTAAAGTAAATACCTATCTATTCACAATTTCTAATGGATAAGAACTATAGGCTGCATTCAAATTATGCATCTCTTTAAAAATATACAATGATTCCAAAATACGCAGATCGGAAGCACCAGAACTATGAGCTAAAACCTTAAAGTCAGTGTCGGACACTGGAACGTTGCACTGTTCGGCGTGAGTGCGCACAGCCCAATTAGGAGGGCGCGATAGTAACTGCCCAGTCCTATAACTCTTGCCTCTATGCTCAGCGACCCTAGTGTAAAGGTTTCGTGCCGTCATTCAACGTACACAGATGCACATCGTACACAACTAAATTTATAAACTAGGGTCTAGGGACGATCGCATGTGAGAAGGGAGGATATCTTTGTACCTAAGAAACGAACCTATTTTGAAATCATTCACCAGTAAGATACGAAGATTAATGTCAAGAAAGTATTTCATAAACAAATCTTTCAATTCTCTTGACATAACTTCGGACGCATGACCGAAGTATGGAAAAGAACAGTAAACAACGTTTCTACTATCTGGCTCTGTAACAACTTCACTGCATCGCTTAGACATGAATTTCTTAATCTGGGTAAACACCAAGCAAGAAGAAAATCCATTTAAGCAAGAAGATATTGCGCAAAAATTCAAATTCAGAATGCATGGCATGGAAAGTCGAGCAAATACGAAAGCCGCGGTGTAATAGTGTTTTGAGACTGTTCAACTCGAATCTAAAAGAACAAAGACCGAAAAAGCTGGTGCTTAGGCCGATGAAAGTTGATTTCCTGAAAACAGATGTTTGAAAACGGCCATTAGATTTAGTAATATTGCAGTCTAGAAAGGGCAAACTATTGTTCGATTCAAGTTCCACAGTAAATTTAATAGAATTATGTTTCACGTTTAGGTAATAACAAAAAATTATATGAGAGGGATGTTTAAAAATAAGAAAGGTGCCATCGAAGCATCTGTTAGAAAAAATTGGTTTAAAATCAGACGGATAATTGGTCACCCATGGAACCTCGCGAAAACACAAAAATATTCGCAAAGGTTGGGCCGAGGGGAAGACCCATACCAAAACCATCAATTTGCCTGTAAAATTTACCAGCAAATATGAAAATCGAATTTAGAACTGATAATTCCAGCAGGGATTTAAAAAAATTGCGGTTCAAACCAATAAAAATGTCATGAATATCTTGAAACAGAGTATTTAGACAGATCTCTATAGTTTCAAAAGGCGGGATACTTGTAAATAAATTTTTCACGTCAAGAGAGGCCATTGTGAAATGCTGAACGTCAGTAAAATCCTTCAAGCGGTCAACAAAAGTATAAGGATTGTCAACTGGATACTGGTTAATTGTAAGACAGTTTAAGACAGGAACTAAAAACTTAGCCAGTTAAGTTATGTCAAGAGAATTAAAAGATTCGTTTATGAAATACTTTCCTGACATTAATCTTCGTATCTTACTGGTGAATAATTTCAAAATAGGTTCGTTTTTTAGGTACAAAGATATCATCCCTTCTCACATGCGATCGTCCATAGTTTATAAATTTAGTTGTGCATGATGTGCATCCGTGTACGTTGGAATGACGGCAGGCAACCTTTACACTAGGGTCGCTGAGCATAGAGGGATGAGTTATAGGACTGGGCAGTTACTATCGCGCCCTCCTCATTAGGCTGTGCGCACTCACGCCGAATAGTGCAACATTCCAGTGTCTGACACTGACTTTAAGGTCTTACCTCATAGTTCTGGTACTTCCGATCTGCGCATTTTGGAATCATTGTATATTTCTAAAGTAGAGCCTAATTTAAATGCAGCCTATAGTTCTTATCCATTAGAAATTGTGAATAGATGAGTATTTACTTTATTATTCTGCCCTTTGCCTGTAAATTTATGTTTTTAACTTCTGTGTTTTTTTCTTTTGACTCCAAACTTTTTTAATTTTCTGACTGTATTTGTGTTCTAGATTTATCGAACTGACAATGGACTGTATTTGTGTTCTAGATTTATCGAACTGACAATGGAGCTGGTCTCCGAAACGTTTTCAATATAAGTATTAAAATCAATTGGCTGCTTAAGTCGCGTATTTACCAGGAATTTAAAAGCAAAGAAAATAGCCAAAAATTTCACCATTTCTTATAAGAGAAAACGTTTCGGAGTCCAGCTCCTTCGTCAGTTCAAAACCTAGAACACAGGTACAAGCAATTAGTAACCTAAAATTCACATTCAAACAATTCACCTAAACTTGAGGACATTAGAACTAAAATCGAAGATAACAGAAATAAAAATGAGATGACATGTACCTGTGTTCTAGGTTTTGAACTGACGATGGAGCTGGACTCCGAAACGTTTTCTCTTATAAGAAATGGTGAAATTTTTGGCTATTTTCTTTGCTTCTAAATTCCTGGTTTTCAATATAGATATACTGAATTTTTGTGGAGTTTTCTTCGCTTCTAGATTTTTACATCCAAACTATTGATAATTATTTATGCAGAAGTTACTTGGCGCTTCCTTTTTTATTAAATTCTCTAGGTGTGTAGGAATTGGCTATGATTCTCTTGATGAGCATTGAGAAGGAAATAATGATTATTTTCCTAATTTTCGTCTGATCAAGTCTGACAAATATACGCTTAATCGAAAAAAGGCTATACCAATGAAAAAAAACATATTCATAGTAAAAACACCTAACACTGTATCGCTAACACTCGTGAACTCGTGATACTGTAAGCTAAGACACAATTTTAAAATTGGCGACTAAGTTAACCCCTTAAATGTTTACCATATTAATGCCTTCCAAGACGCCCATCAAATTGTCCGGCAAGTTGTACGTCGTTTTGTTCCACTTCGCGACTCGGAGCAGCGATGCTTCGGCTTCTTTAAGTCGTCCCCGAGTAACTAGCCAACGTGGAGAGTCTTTCAGTAATCTGCGCATAGATTGGAAAATGATAAAATTAAGGTACAGTCGGATTATATTTGTCTATGTTCTTCCAGAAGTATTTAATGTCATTGAGTTTTTGATGTTGCCAACTTTGCCAACTTGTGAGCATAAAAAAATAAGTTAGTCAAGGGACCTTCGTGAAGAATGCATACTAATGTTAGTAAAGTGGATGACAGGAATAGTACATATAACACATGAATTTACTCACATAGGATTACTTAAAAGGAGCAGCAATACAATGGGGAAGGAGCCAGCTAGTTGGAACATCTGCCAGTCCGGACATACATAACCTAGTCCGGCTAACAGACTGATCATTATGGCCCACGGCAGAGATACGCACACGCCATAGGTGGACCGCATGGGCATCGGGCAGAATTCTAAACCTGCAAAGCAATCCGGATTGAGAGAACAATTATTTCGCAATAACGGTCAGTAAACATTTTATACAACATAACGCAAATAATTAATTTCATTGTATGACCTAGTGGTGTCGGCATTTCTTAGAGCAAGTTGGCCTTTCGTCGATTCCTCACCACCTAGTCACCTTGCTGATTTCGACCAGAATTGTTTAATACCAGTTGCGGGTTTCGAACCCACAACTCACTGCTTCCATTTATGTAATATTAATCATTCGGTCACCCCTAGTCCGGAACTCCCCTATAGAAGTGACACAGAGCTCCAAATATTAGGACTGTTTGAACATTATATTGATGCAAGACATAGATGTAATAGATTGATTGATTGCCGGCGATTGGATTGATTGAAGACACAGATTGCATGATCGCCGACATAGATGAGGCAGTGAACCACGCCTCTGCATCATCATTCGCGGACGACACCACCAGGATACTAATGACCATAACGGACAGGAGAGAAGCGAGAGGTTGCAAGAAGACCTCCCTGCAATATATGACTGGGCCCAAGTGAACAACATGCAGTTGAACGGGACTAAGTTTGAGGTTTTGAGATTCAGAGGTAACGAAAGAGCGTGTATGGAGCACCGCTACCTAGCACCTGACAACTCGGAAATCGAAGAGAAGCGAATCGTTCGCGATCTGGAGTGTTGATGAATTTCTCAGGTCAATTTTGATGATTACATAACGGCAATAACCGCAAGAGGTAGGCGACAGATGGGGTGGATCTGGCGGACGTTCAGAACAAGAGAAGCGGAACCAATGATCAAACTCTTTAGAGCCCTTGTAATTCCAATTCTTGAATACTGCTGCCAGCTCTGGACCCCGTTCACACTCGGCGCCGTGCGACAACTGAAAGGTGTCCAGCGAACCTTCACTTCCAGGATCAGAGGGATGGATGAGTTGAACTACTGGGAGAGGTTAATGCGCCTGGGTTTGTACTCTCTGCAGAGAAGACGGGAGAGGTATGTCATTCTGTACACATGGAAGATATTAACCCGAATGGTGCCAAGCTTGAAACTTCGTGTGCGAGACCTTGAGGATTGAGGCACATCACAACGAGAGAAGGTGGAGACTGTGAAAGATTCCCCCACTACCTAACAGATCTGCTGTCAGATCAGGGTTGGCAATGATTAAATCAAACTGATTAAATCATGTGATTAAATCTTTTGATTTTTATAAAAATCATGATTTTTATTTTTTATATATTTTAATATATTGAGTGGCAGTCTTTTAATTTAATTTTAGGTATTGTTATTCATGGTTTAGTATAAATGTACTATGAAAAATTGGAATATAAACCTGTTGCCTTTAGTATGTATTACGTTCCAAAAAAATGTATGTTATTGCTACAGAGGCATCGAGTGTTGCAATACATTGTACATAGCTAGCAGCTTAGCTAATTCTTATAAGGCTATAAGTAGTCTTTAACTAACTATTTGATTATTTGTTATATATTAAGTACATCATACAATTTACATGTGTTAGCTAGCTTATATAAGAAAGGTTGGTTGATTGTCAGCGATTGATGATTGTATAGACCTTTTAGGCATTTAGAAAGATTGTCCACCCTAATATGAGTATTCTAATTAAAATATTTTATTTCAATCTTTAAATTTGTGAATTTATAACTAGAAATAAAACAATTACAGTTATAAAACTAGATATAAAATAATTAAATGCAGTGAATGGAAATAAAATGTTTGAATTGTGTACATGTTTATTTCAAAGTGTTAGCTTTTCTCATAACATAAGTCTCGTTTCAAGCAGTTTGAGGTTTGTTTGGTTGTCGTAAAGTTTATGTTTAAGTATTGGTTTATCAGTCTGAATCAAATGGGAACAGTGCAGTCAGTCACTCAGTCACTACTAGTCGGTGTGTTTAGTAGAGGGTAGAGTCTGGTAGATTTATAGGACATAAAACTAGTAGATCTATTGATAGTGCAGCGCACTGTTGACTGTGCTATCAGCTACCTATCTGTTATGTGACCCTCTAATGTTTAGAAGATCCGCATTCCTGAAGTGTTGTTGTATATTGAAGCCAGTTAAATGGTCAATATTTAGCTCGTTACCTTGCTCCATATAAACTTTACAAAGCTAATGAATAGACTTATCAATAATTGTTTACCCAAAAGTCCCAAAGTGGTAAACACCAACCTGGTCATGCTTGAAGGCAATAACTGCCCATTTTGGCCATCCATATACTGTTATTGTTAGTAGGCTAATTGCAATATAAAAAAATAACATTTTAAAAAGATAAAAAGCTGAAAAAATATAAAAAATCATGAAAAAAGTAAAAAATCATTGATTTTTGATTTTTTTTTATTAAAAAAATAAAATAAATCACCAACCCTGAATCAGATTTCAACCCCAGCGGGAAGGATCACTTTCCGTGGCAGGGCCGAGGCTGTTTAACGTCCTACCAAAGGTTCTAAGAGTGGGGGATCGACTTCACCCTGGAGACCTTCAAGAGACGACTGGACGTGTTCCTGGGCACAATCCCAGATCGACCCCCCTTGCAACACTACCAGCGGCGAGAAGCAAGCAACAGCATCGTGCAACAGCTGGCCCAAATGAGGGCGGATGAGCGATAATCAGAGGCGGCGATCCATCGTGGCCTGGGACTGCTACGTCCGAAACAAATACCAAGGATACCAAGCATGCTAAACATCAACGTTACAATTTAGCTGCTGCAAAATAGGACATCCCATCAACACGCTGGAGGTTAAGGGCATTGCCAGCCCTCTCTACATGATCGCAGTAACTTACCTATGGTGTACACAGGCGAAATTATAAACATTGTGAAGAATCCGATGAAGAATCGGCAGATGAGGATGCTTGTCAGGTTCGGTATAGTGACTAGGAGTGTGGTGAAAAATGTCACCAGTGCCGAGCCGTACCACACGGTGGGTTGTCGACCGAGCCTGGCGAAACACGTGCATTATGAAGTCATATCTCGTAACTTTTACTGTGATTGTTAATAGCATTCCACGTCGATTGAAGGAAATCTGAAATTTTAGCTGTAATATCTATTTCTGTAAGTATTAAGATCACTTGGCTACTTTAGTCGCAAATTCACCAGGAATTTAAAAGTAAAGAAAATAGACAAAAAGTTCACCATTACTTATAAGAGAAAACGTTTCAGAGTCCAGCTCCATTGTCAGTTCAAAACCTAGAACACAAGTACAAACAATTAGTAGCCTAAAATTCACACGCAAACAATTCATCTAAACATGAAGACATTAGAACTAAAATTGGAAACAAAACAAAAAAATGTGGAGAAGGTACTATCTATTTACAATTTGTAGAAGGTAGGAACTGAATGCGGCATTTAAACTGTGCTTCTGTTTGAAAATATATAATGATTCTAAAATTCGTAGGTCAGAAACACCGGTTGTGGAGGCTAAAACTCTGAGGAATTGAAAGATCTATTCCCTAAATACCTCCCGAATGTAAATCTTCATGTACTGCTAGTGAAAAATTTCAAAATTAGCTCGATTTTCAAGTACAAAGATCCTCTTCGTGTTCTTATGCGATCATCCCTAGTTTATCAATATAGTTGTGCGCAGTGCGCATCTGCGTATGTTGGTATGACATCGCGCAATTTTTATACTAGGCTTGCAAAGCAAAGTCCTGCAAAGAGGCAGGAGGTAAAGAACAGAAAACATAATTGCGCATCCCCCTCATTCAGCCGTACGTATTCATGCCGAGCAGTGCAACGTCCCGATGTCCAATAGTGATTTTAGAGTTCTAGCCTCCACAACCGGTGTTTCTGACCTACGAATTTTAGAATCATTATATATTTTCAAACAGAAGCCCAGTTTAAATGCCGTATTCAGTTTCTATCCTCTACAAATTGTAAATAGATAGTGCCTTCTCCACATGTTATCTCATTTTTATTTGTTTTATTTCCGATTTTAGTTCTAATGTCTTCAAGTTTAGGTGAATTGTTTGAGTGTGAGTTTTAGGCTACTAATTGTTTGTACCTGTGTTCTAGGTTTTGAACTGACGATGGAGCTGGACTCCGAAACGTTTTCTCTTATTAGAAATGATGAACTTTTTGGCTATTTTCTTTACTTCTAAATTTCTGGCTATTTCTGTAACATAAGGATTAGTCGCTTCATTTGATTCTTAATCTAACTCTAGGAGAATGTCATGGTGTAGTGGCCCTTTACTGACTAATACCGATGAATAGCGAATGCTTCTATGATTTGCAGCTGATATTTCTTTACAAGCGAGACAATACCCGGACCTCAAGAGGCAAAACATTCTAATCCCTCACTTGTCGGCCAGCAGCCCCCCGAAAGGACAGCCCACCATGCTGCCAATTGTGAACAGCATTTGAAAGAGCTCCCGGACGTAGGCTTTCGAACACACCAACTCAAACTGTAGCGAGGCGTTACATATGTTACAATGGTAATTAAAATAAGATCATAATATTTTGTTAATTTCTCAAGTTCCTATTGAACTGCTTTTCGAGGCACTGACTCGTAGTATTCATCCAGAAACGTCTATGGTTTACAATATTTTTATTTTAAACCTATTAAATGCTATCATAAATATGCAATTTCATTTGATCAATTAGAATGGCTCCAATGTTGAAGTATATAGGTTAAAATTGGAAAATTTAAGTATTTAACTATTCACACTCATCTTCGACAAATCTATAAGTATTTATAATTACTTGCCTCTTCTGTCAGGGTGAAGTGATAAATTTCATGCGAAAATTGATAAAGTTTGCAGCTCCGTGTTTCGTTTGACTCTCCTCCCGCCGACGCCACGACGCATTCCGAACTACTTTTAGGAATAATCAAGATTATATTGCTCACTCATTTAGATTTATTCTCTGGTTAACAAT